ATTCATATCACTTACATTTGAACCAATTAGAACAAGATTTTTTTTTTTTTTTTTTTTTTTTTTTTTAAAACTGTAATGCATCTTTATTAGGATTTAGAGTCAGTCAAATAAACTATCCTAAGTTACAAGACACTTAGAGCTGGTCATGCTAAACATGTAACAACCCTATAACAGAGTAATCGAACCAAACAAAAAGAAACATTACAGAAAAATAATAAAATAAATATACTACCTGAAAATAAAATATCTAAAACTAGCAAACTATACTATTTTTGAAACCTAACTATTTGAATTCTAAATTTTAAAATGTAGGATTAAAGATGAAATGTGTAATAATGTTCGAGTCTGCCATGTGCAGCTTCAAAAGATGAGTCCCAACGGTCCCACACCCAAACAGTATATTCCACCAAATCCCCTTTATACCTACAAAGAATAAAAGTTAGTATTCTAAACTAAATTGAACGAGTCAAAATAAAATACTTTTTTTTTTTTTGTTGTTAATTTTGTTATCGGAATCTTTTTTACGTGAATCACGTGACTTCGATTAAAAATATAATTCATTTTTCCTCGTAAGTCTCTTCCTTCTCTCTTCACTTCTTGTTCTTCTTCTTCTTCTTCTTTTTCTTTCCACTATTCTTCTTTGATGTTTTTGACTTTTTTTTAGTTACAAGATGATACAAAAATTTCACCAATGGGTCTGGAAGATGCCCGTTTATAAACAAATATGCAATTGAATTTTGTGTAACCTTACTGCATAAATCACTTTACTTAGGAAAATCTATTTATAATGGTTAAAAGTGGTCTATTTGACCCTAAAAGTGGTCAAATGTAACCATACAGGTAAGATGGAAAGTAGTATAGTAGGATTATCCAAAATTGCTTTCCATATGTCTATTTTCAAGTTGTACAATAATCACAATTTTTATTGTACAAAAATTGAATGTTTTCTCAAAAATTGAACATTTTTTATATCCTAAATTTAAGTTGTACAAAAATTGCATACTTTTAATATGCTTTGAAAAACTTCATAGCTATTTTTATCCAAAAATCTGCAATAATTGTACAATTTCCACACGAACTTGAACAAATATTGTACAAAAATTGGATGATTTTTTTTCATAGGGATCTTAATACTTTTAAATTGAAGGATTTTTTAATAGATTGTTTAGTTATCATGTAAATTCTTGATCCTGCAAATTATTTTTTTGTTTCATCTGATAAATGTGAAATAACCACGTCCAATAACATTTCCGTCTTCCTTTAAGTATTTCTAAGGATTTCTCCATAAAACTGGAAATAATATTTTCACTCACGTTTAAGACATCTTATTCTATCATCTTGCAAATCCAAAAATATTAAATAAAGAACGCCTCTGATAGGGTCTTTTTTTTATTAAAACAAAAATTCCTTTTACGAATGCACATAAACTGTATATTTATAATAATAGTGCATAAATTACACAATACATTTAATGCATTTTGATCACTCTTAAATAATATTGGCGTAGCGATAGTGTATCGATTAATCAATTTGCAGCGATAAATTTATACTCACGATAATTAATTTGATTGATGCATCCCGCAGTTCCCGCACGTAGTTTTTTTTATGATACCGAAGCTTTATATACCTTATTAATAGAAACCCAAGCCCTATAAAATTAAATGACTTAAATAGACAAATAAAGAATTGAAGTGTTTTTAGTATGTTATGGAATAAATATTTTAGTTTTTAATTATAGTAATTGGGAGTTGAAGCCGGTCAAAAATAACCGATTAATTGGAACATTTAATCTTGGTTAATTTGTAATGGTAACATAAAAATTATACGTTTATAATTAGTAAAATTTTATTTTCCTTTAATTTTGCAATATTAAATTCATTAAATTGCTGCGCTGTAATAGTACATTTTAATGAAACTACAGTATATTCCGTTATTTTATTATTAATAAATAATATAAAATTGTTAGCAAGTCTCATTATTTTTATTCCTGAAAATATAAAATTTGTCGCATTATTATTGAGAAAACCTTTGTTTTATCGATTATGATCTCAGAAAAAATCAGTATACGCAAATAAGGATTATAAGTTAACCGATTTTACCGATTTTGAGATGCCTCAACCGGTTAAAAATAATAACATTTAAAATAAAAGAGGTCGATAAACATGAAAAGGTTCATTTTTTGTAAATACAAAACGGCACATTATCTTTTGAGAACGTTTAACGACCAAATCAATTCAAATAATATTTACGCGAAAGAATACTTACTAACTTAATTTGGTAAGTTCAAATGGATAAAAAAAGTTAACATATAAAAGCGTACATTTCGCACTTCAGAGATATTGTATCGTTTTATTCAAAATTGGCAAGAAAATAATTATATATATTACACTTTTTTCGTTATAAAATTCCAATTATTGGTAGTTATGTTTAATTCCGAAAAATTCATTAAACAATGCAAAAAAGGAAGTTAGTAAAATTAAAAAATTTTTTGTTTTCTTTTTTTCTTCCGCGTCAATTCATTAACTTCTTTCAATTATCGTTATTAATTAATATAGTGATATCTTTAGTCTATACAAATTATTTTATTATTTTTATTCAGAGAATTAAAGTTATTGGAAGTCAACCCTAATTTTGTAAATGTGAAATTAATAAAAGTTTTTTTCTAATAAAAACTAATATAAAGTATCAAACTCATTGCACTCTGTCCTGTGTTCGAAAGATTTATCATTTCGAAAAATAGCGCGTAATTTAAAGATCCAATAAATACATAAATAATCGCTAAGTTCAATTTAAAATCGATATTACAATAGAAAATTTGCAAAATCAGAAGTGTCAAATAATTTTTTCACACTTTGACCCTTTAAAATATTCATTTGCACATCTAAACTAATGAATACCTTTACAGTAATCATTTCAATTTTATGATTTTTTTTTTGGCGAAATATCTGGCATTATAAACAAATGTAAATTTTGTTTTTAAACTATGGACAATTTCATTTAATCACACTTAGACAGCATGATCATGATAAATATTAACTCGAGACGAAATTATTATGGTTCATTTTTAGAACACACGACGCACTACGTTGGTTTACTACGAACTTCGAAGTTAATTCTTCCGCCAAACTTAATTATCTTTTTTTATTAGATAAAAATGGAAAAAAATGATTTCTTAAAATTGTGAGTCATGAAAATAACCTAAAATATAATCTGATTCTAATTCAGAGAACACAAATAACAAAAAATGTTCGTATTGTAATAATCCCTTTATCAAGGAATTAGAATGTGACCCATATAGAAGAATTGAAGAATGGACCAGTATAAATCCGAGATGTATAATGTAAGTAAAGCAACACATTATCATGATTTTGGGCCTATTGAATAGTTATCACTTGATGAATTTACTGATACAGACGAAATTGGTGAAGGTGGATTTGCCAATGTATATTCTGCAACATAGATAGATGGTGTATCAACATATTATTGGAAAAAAGGAAATTATAAAAATAGGAACCGAAACATATGAAAGTCGCTTTGAAAATGCTAAATGAATGGGTCATAAATATGTCAGAAAAATATTTAAACAACCATCCAACCCTCAAGGAATGCGGAAAAAATCGAGTTCAAACTTCAACGTTGCCAAGTGATTTATGATCGATAACTTGTGGCAACATGCGATCCCAAAAAGCCACGTCTCTATAAAGTAAATGCCGAAGTATTTTTTTTTATTATTCTATATTGATTGTTAAATTTATTTTAGTATTTAACGAGTCTCTAAAATAGTTTTGTTTAAAATAATTTTATTTTAGTTTAGTTTTTGAGTATCAATTTAATGACATTAATATGTTTGCTAATTGCATAATTGGAAAAATCATAACGCAATTATTTTTATTTTAAAAACTTTGTTGTTAAACTTATTTAGATCTATCCATTATTTGTATATCAATTTATTCATTATTTATATGTTTTTCAGTCAATTTAAAAGATTCATATTCTTGAAATTTGTAATTAATAAATCTTCCATTATGGCATCTTCAGTTGATATTAGTGTTGGCATTGTTGGCATGACGACGTTGTTGAATAAATCGTTTATGTTCATCTTTCTTGTCTAATAACAAACGATCCCATTCTGCAATACTCAACCTCACTTCTTCTGCAAGTTTTTCTCTCTCTTTCTCTGGTAATGTTTTCGCCAATCTGCTGCTTGCATTGTGAAACAATAATGTCACAATTTTATTTTCGTCATCCATTCCCACTTCAATATCTATATCCTCAGTTTTCTCGAATGTGATAAATGAAGGCTTAGAACCAATAAAAAGAATCTCCAACTCATCGCGATCTTCATAACAAATGGGATATAGAGAGAGTGGTGGTTTATTATCTATCATTTCTGAAGTATCAAATAAGTGGCAACGCAATAAATTCGATGCATCAAAAATTTCAAATGACACTATCTTGTCATCACCGTCATAAGAAGCGAGGGTGTAATCATTTGGTCCTCTACAATCTTTAATAACGCCGGAAGTTGCCTTTGCAAAATATATTGATAACCTATCCATATCTTCATAATATTTAAAAACCGTATCATCCCTTATACTATAAAACAATGTAGAATGTTAATATTATATATTGAACTATGAAACTCTCCATAATTTATTTAGAATACGTAACCAGATATTATTTTTGGTAGATTTTGTTTGCATATTAAGTTCCTTCAAATTTTTATTTTGGAGTTAAATAATATAATAAAGGAAATAAAACAGAATAAACTAAATCTCACAAACCATACCTTCATAAATTGTATAGGAAGTTGGTTGTTACCCCAACGCTTACTTGAAGACAACATTTTTAGACTCTTCAAATCCTTGCTTTCCATAATTTCAAAAATTTCTTCTTATTTCCTGTTATAATAATAAGTAATTATTTTCTAACGAGGATTTCTTCTATCTACAATTACGGTACTAGTAAGCTTTATATGTATGGATTTAAAAATAGGACGAACTTGTCATTGGGACATCTATTACTGTCACGCTGTCTGACGAGTGACTAAAGTACTGCTAAGGTATACAAAAAATGTACTCATTTTAGAAACATAAACATCAAATGACAAATGATGTGTAATTTCACTTATCAAATGGAGAAAGGGAATTATATGTTGGTCATAATAGCCTACAAATTTTTTTTCAATTGATAAATTGTCGAATGACTAACACTTAGTAAGATTATAAAACGATCGCTGACTGACGCTGAGACGCTGAGCACCTGATCATTTGCCGATCATTTCCAAAAAGGAACAACGTAATTTTTGACGAAAAAAAAAATTTTTTTAAAAAATATTCCATTTATTCCTCACCCTGGATGATATTCGATATTCCTTACCCTCCAAGTCATAAATTGCCAAAAATGTTAAAAAATAGTATTTATAGCCTTTCTTAAGGTATTAAATAAATTTGTAGGGCAGGCAGAATCATCTATACTTATAATTTTAAAGGTTTTATTTTTTAAAAAAAAAATTTTTTTGTCAAAAATTACGTTGTGGAAATGATTGCATGACTTCATTTTTATATTAAATTCAGGGGTGAGAAATAAATTTTTTTATATTTTTCAATGTATACAATAATTTGTAATTAAAAAACTACTTTTTTTTTATTTTTTGAAAATTTTATAATATTTACAATGAAGATTATATCATACTTGATATCATTTTACCGGTATAATAACAACTTTCTATATAATCACTGGTTGTAAGGAATGCAACGGTAATAACATGAACAGCAGATGAAACTTATACTGATACAATGGTGAATGATTTGCTTCGTATTGTTGAGTTAAATACTTTTCCTTTGGCAATTAGGTGAGTAGTTATGTAGAATCTTTTTGTTTATGATGTGTTCTAAAGTTTGCATTCCTAAACTTAGAAATCACCAAACATGCAGACTGTTCATTTGGGGATATCCTTATTTGTCAGCAAATCCTGAATTTTTTGATCAAGACAATAGACACGTCCATAATTGCTGTGGAGGTCACAGTCAAAATAAATCACGTGTTAAGCCATGATACCGCAGTACGCAGTAATTCAGTAATTTTCAGCAGCCACACTGACAAAATTTTGCACACAGTCCGCACACTAACACGTGAAAATAAACAGTGACGAATAGAATAAGTTTTTGCCTATTCGAAAAAAACAAGTCCCTCAGATAAATTTGGGGGTGACGATGTGAATTAAATTTCTGGCTAATTTCTTTACAGAAACTTCCAATTTTGCCAAATATGTTAAACATATTACTGATAAATAGCATTTATATATTCAACATATTGCATAGTTCAAAATATTGCTAATATATAATTAATGCATAAATACAATATAATCATAATATGATTTTTATATGCCAAAATATATATTAAAAGCAAAATATAAACAATGTGTGAATAAAATATAATTGTTATATATTTAATATTTGCCAAAATAAATGCTAAATATAAAATGTAAACAATGTGTGAATAAAATATATTCGAAATATGGTTTTTATATGCCAAAAATACATATTAAAGTAAATATGATTAATATATGAATAAAATAAATCCAAAATATAATTTATATATGCCATAATACATATTAAAAGTAAAATATAACCAACATACGAATAAAATATATCCAAAATATGTTTTTTATATGCTGAAATTCATATTAAAAGTAGAATATGAACAATATGTGAATACAATATAATCATAATATGATTTTTATATATCAAATATATATTAAAGTAAAATATAGTTAACATATATATTTTGTGAATATAAATATATAATACAATTATCATATGATTTTATATGCCAAAATATATATACGTTGAAACTAGTACAGTATTGATTTTCATAAAATATGATAAAAATACATAGTAAAAATATAGTACTAGTATATGTGATATGTTTAAATTCGATATAATATGACAAACTAATGTAAATAAATAAGATAAAGATGTAAATAATTATGATATTACTATTCTATAAACATTTTTATTAGTGTATTAATTTTTTTATATTATATTCAGTTGTATCAATGGCTTTCTCACTACTATAGATGCTATAGGATCTCTACCTATTCCATAGAGGAGAGTCTTTTCATGAGAAAATACTAATATAATTATAAAAAAAAAATTTTTAGAAAATAAAATTAAAGAAATTTAAAGATAAAAGATAAAGAAAAATAATAAGAAAAATGCTAATTGTATGTCATATACCGTATAACATTATAAACTGTCAAAAACCATAATAAATTAGCATCATACAATAAAAATTATTACTAACAAAAAGAATTATAAAGAAAAGAATTCAAAGAAAAGGAACATTTATAAAATTATAAAAAGAATTAAAGAATAGAACTTTTTTTAAAAAAAACGCGAAAATCCTATTTTAAATTAATTGCATTTCAAAGAAAAAAAAAATTTAAAGAGAAAATTATAAATAAGGAAAGAGAAAATTGTAAAGAAAAAAATTAATAGCTTGTAAATTTCTAATAATAAAAAATTTTTTTCGTAATTATTTGAAAAAGAAAATTAAAAAAACCGTGAAAAGCTTGTAGCTTATCTGTGCATTATCACATGATAATAATAATACTATACTGTATCATGAGCTAAAATAAATTACAATAACACGTAATGATCAACATTAAACTTTTTAACGCGTCAATGTCATAACACGTGCACTATAAATTCCTTTTTATATTTATACTTTAAAGACGTCTTTTCTACCTACCACCCATTTTCTTTTGTTACAAAACTGCCTAAAATAAGCTTCCTCCCTACTATCCCTATTTAATATGTATAAAAAAAGAAATTCTTAACCACTAAAGGCTATCTTTAACTAAGTATACAGTTAGTGCTAGGTGACTTGCAAAATTACAAGATAGACATAACGAACCCAACGAACCCATAAACAACTGAATAGTAAATAAAGAATAATAAAGAAAAACGGACCATAGAGCTAAACCTTTTACTTATATGACACATTTCTATACTAAAACCAAACTAACCTAAACTAAACCCAAACAAATACTCATTAACCATCCTACAAAAACATCTACAAACTAGTTACCAATCTATCTAAACTCCCCTAAAAAAAATCCTACAGGGTGCCAGATTACTCCTTTTGTCTGGTATTGATCTTCTATAGCAGTTTTATACATCTCTTGATGCAAATCCGTCCACTACTAGTACTTTTAGTAACCACCCTAGCGAAGATGCTAGCTGTACTTTGAAATCCTTCTAAGGCTTCATCCAGAAAGATCATCTTTTCCATAGTTTGTACGCTTGCTGGTTTTCAAGGTTTACTACCAAGGCACCAACCTATCTATCACTTTCTTCAGTTTTCGAGGCTCGCTGGCAACTATTCCAAAAATCTGAAGTTATATCACAATCCAAAACTCTAAGGAACTTAACTTTATTTTGTGAAATCATGGGACTTGAAAATATATCCCATTATCCAAATACATTACGTGAATTGTTGCAGTTTTGAAATCGGTTGACAATTTTGTACCACATCAAATCATCTCAATCCTCAAAAATTTAACACTACCAATTTAGGATTCCAATCTCATGCTGAAATTTTTGCTGTGCCGACCAAAAAACAACAGCAACGAAAAATTCTTAAGAAATCACAAAGTCCAAAAAGCAATATCAACGAAAGCCTTTACTTCAAAAGGTAAATGAAGTTTCTTTGTTTTTCCTGCTCCTATGTTATCACTTCACTTTTTTAGGACGATACCTCACCCTACTTGGCCCTTTTTGGGTTATCACTATTGTCAACAAAAAGAAATAACTTTTTGGGCAAGAAATTTGAAAAATACTATTTGAAGTCCCCTAAAACTTATATTCTTCAGTTCATAAAGGAGTGAATAATCAGTTGGTAATGTTGAAAATTGAAATGCGTCAAAACTTTTCCTATATACTTAATGAACTCTTCCATTTTTTTTCTATCCTAACATTTTTGAAAATAGTGATCAGTGGAAAGAGTTCAATTCTGCTTATATTTTTTTTAATTATAGTGAAAAGAAAGGTCTAATAAAGATCACACACTTGAATTTTATTGGAAACTTCTACTACAAAAGTTCACGTGCTTGAATTTTATTGGGAAAACGAAAGATCACACGCTTGATGCATTTTATTGGAGGAAACCTTTATTACGAAAGATCATGCACTTGAATTTTATTGGCAAAAATGAAAGATCACGCGCCTGAATTTTATTGGAGAACTTTTACTACGAAAGATCACATGCAGACAGCGCTTAAATTTATCAGGAAAACTAAAATTCTTGATATTATTATGCGATTATTGTATTTTTGATATCATATTCCTATTTTATTATTATTATATTTTTGGCATGTAATTATTATATCATTTCATATTATTTTGCAATATAATTAATATATATTTGGCGCATGGTGATTATATAAAATTTAATCATATTTTTAACATATTTTTAATATATAATTGCTATATAAAAATTAAATTTCTCTAATACATGTAATACATGTTCAATATATGGTTGCCATATAAAAAATCCAAAACATATTTTTAACATATTTTTATTATATGTTTGCTATATAAATAAAATTTTATATGTTAATATGTTTGATATATTGTGAGCATATAGTTAGAACGAAAATAACAGAAATGCAAAAGTGATATGTCTGTTATATTGTAAAAATATTGCTAACATATTTGGCAAAATCGGAAGTTTCTGTAAAGTTAACAAGTCATGATTCTGCGACTTAATAAAGTACTATACAATTACAACGTAATAATATTGCGCATCAGTAGTATTTTTTATTCATGTGTTACAAAAATAGCGGAGTATTTATTAAGTATTGTAATATAA